TTTTTTTTTAATGGTGATTACTGCTGAATTATCCAAGGAAGCATAGCTATGACTAATGAGATCAAATTAAGCAAAAGAAAAATGTGAACTGAATATCAAGACATATTTCCAGTAGATGAGGTTGGGATTTAATCAGGCAGAGGAGTCCCCGTGGAAGTGGTTGGGGGACATTTAACACCACGCATGTCACTTAGAGCTGCAGTGAACTTACACAATTTACAAGGGACAGGCTCTGAGTGTGGCAGGATGATAAGTGAGATCGTATCTCTAGTTTCATTGATTCTTTCTTACAAGGGTATACATTCACAGCCTCCTATCCCCTATGTAAAGAATTTATGTGTGTGTTAAATTTTCTGATTATCGTTTTCTCTCTTTTTTTTTATCTTCCATAAAACACTCTTTTTAAAGAATCTCCTGGTACCATCAGAAATGTCTTCCTTAAGTGGAAAAGTCCAAACTGTTTTGGGCCTGGTGGAGCCAAACAAACTGGGTCGCACCTTGAGCCATGAACATTTGACAATGACCTTTGACTGCTGTTACTACCCACCGCCTCCATGTCACGAAGCTATCTCTAAGGAGCCTATTATGATGAAAAATTTGTTTTGGATTCAGAAGAACCCTTATTCCCATAAAGAGAATCTTCAGTTGAATCAGGAGACGGAAGCCATCAAGGAAGAATTGTTGTATTTTAAAGCCAAAGGTGGAGGGGCTTTGGTGGAGAACACGACCACTGGGCTTAGCCGGGATGTGCAAACTTTGAAGTGGCTTGCTCAAGAGACAGGCGTCCATATCATCTCTGGAGCTGGGTTCTATGTGGATGCCACTCACTCTTCAAAGACCAGAGCCATGTCAGTGGAGCAGGTAAAAAGCCCTAAGTTCTTTAACAACATTTGTGTATACATTCTGAATAGCCAGAACTTAAGATGTTGGGTTATCCTCACGTGTCATCTACACTTGAAAATGTCACTAGCTCCGAGGTAGTTGGTCATGCTATAGAAATGTCCTAGGCAGCAAAGACATCTGCTAATTGAGACTCAAATTAGGAACCTTTCCTTTCCTAAAGAAAAAGCGATCAGAACGCACTGGTCACTGAAAAACTCAACGTGTTCATACTTAGATTCGTATACGAGTATGTCATATCCATGCTCAGTGATGGTACCCCAGGCTGTTTGTATCCTCAGTTTTCCATGATAAGCTTCAGTTATGCAACCTCAATTTTCTTTCTGGATTTTATAATAACCAGCAATAAAAATTCACTGTAGGGTGAAACTTGGCAGGCAGAGACTTGGCACATTTGTGAATATGTTTCCTTTGCCTTTTACAAAACAGGAGGGGTGGAAGAAAATCCATTCTCCTATTTGTGTCATAATAAGATCTTAAGCAAGAATGGGCAGGAAGAAGCAATCTTTCAGGGACAAAAAGAACAAATAAACAGTAAGCCTTTTTTGCACGTGTATGTGCTCTCTTTCTATACATATGTGTTTATACAGACTCATATGTATCTTCCATTGCCTGGTTCAGAGGCATAGCGTGTCAAGCTGCAGTCTTTGCAAAGAATCACTTAATCATTAAAATACTTTTATTTCAAAATTTTATCTGCATTTTTTCCTAATCAGGCCTTTCCTCTTTTATATGTTTATATTATCTGAAGACGATCACAATGTCAGCTCTTGCACATTCTTCCAATCACTCTTAGCGGTAACTACACATGTGACCAAAAATGTAATGTCAGCATTGTGTGCTGTGAACTTTCTATGCTGTAGATAAAGGACTGCATTAATAAGAGAGAATTAAAGAATTACTTGATATAGTTGACACAGATTCAAAGACAGTCTTTATGTTCTAGGTTCTCTTCAGGTTAAAGTACAGATTTTTTTTCTCATCTGAATATATTTTCATTAAGTCATGGTTTTGTTTTGTTTTTCTATAGCTCCCTAAAGCCATGACTTTCTTGTTGAATAATCACAGTGAGATATTACAGAATCTTTGATTTAGGATAACTTGTTGAATTTGAAATTTGGCCAGCAAAATGCCTTTCTCCTTGACCAATTATGAGTTGAATAAACTATGAATACGTTTTTTAAACAATGAAGGACTAAATGAATAAATTCATTCACATACTGTGGTGATCCTATGTTGATAAATTCTATAGCCTATCACATATTTTCATTCCCATCCTTCCTTAGCTGACTGATGTCCTCATGAGCGAAATTCTCCATGGAGCTGATGGAACCAGTATCAAGTGTGGTGTTATTGGAGAAATTGGTTGCTCCTGGCCTCTGACTGAGAGTGAAAGAAGGGTTCTTCAGGCAACAGCTCATGCTCAGGCTCAGCTTGGCTGTCCTGTTATCATTCATCCTGGAAGGAATCCAAGTGCACCCTTTCAGATTATCCGAGTGTTGCAAGAAGCAGGTGCAGACATCTCCAAAACAGTTATGTCACACCTTGACAGGTAAGCAGGCTATGTATAAATGAGTGCAAATCACCACCTGATTATGGATGCTTAGATGTGTAGGGGTTAGCAAAATAGTTGACTATATAAACAGAGCTTGGCTGCAGTTAATTTTGTGAACAAGCCTAACAATGTTGTAAAGGCTACACATTAGGCTTTAGATCGAATCAATTAAGGAATTAACACAGTTCCAATGTGACTAATAATATATTACAGTTACTTTTAAGTTGGGATTCCTGGATATAAGGATGTATCTTTCATTGTTTCTGGAAAACTTCAGTATTGTCTCTTCAAATATTGTTTCATATGTTTTCTTTATATTTGCATCATAAACTGTAATTTGATATATTTAGGAACTAATTACCTATCCTCCATGTCTCTTAATATCTCCTTCATATTTCCATTCATTTGCATCTTTGATTGTAATTTCTTCAATTCTGTCTTCCCATTTACTACTTCTCTCTCCAGCAGAATCAATCTGTTGCTTAGCCTATCAATTTGGTTTATAATACTAAGAACTATTATTTCTTCTTTATTTCTGTAAGTCCTATTTGTTACTTTTCAACTCTGCTTGGCTAATTTTGTTAATTTTTTTCCTTCAACATGTTTTCAATTCAATTATTAACAAATATTAAGCATACAAGTTTACCTTGTAATTAATAAATCTAATTTCTATTCTTTTTAATGTGATTTATAGTTTGTTGATTCTTCTGGATCTCATTCATATGAGGTTATTTCCTTGTCTTAAAATTTTCTTTTATTGTGATGTTAGATTCTTTGGAAATGATCATGAGTCTGGCTTCAGTTTGTTTGTTTGTTTCCTGGTTGTTTTGTTTGTTTCTTGTAGGGAGTTAGGGGCACAACCAACCTGGTATTACTCTAAACTAAATTTGAAAAAATTAATTAACCTAACATAAAATTTACCATCTTAACCATTTTTAAATGTACAGTTCAGTAGTAAGTACATTCACATTGTTGTGCAGCCAATCTCCGAACTCTTTTCATTTTGCAAAACTGAAACTATACCCATTAAACAAAATTCCCCCGTTTCCCCTACGCCTGGCCTATGGCAACCACCATTCTACTATCCCTCTTTATGAATTTGACAAATCTAGGTACTCATACAAATAGAATGATAGTATTTGTCTTCTTGTGACTTTTTTAAAGATTTTTTTTAATTGGGGAATTGGGGGAGGGGAACAGCCCTGGGGAATTGGGGGAAGGGAAACAGACAAGTTGCTATCCTTTTTGTTCTTCGGTCTAGTTGTGGAGAACGTTGCTTCACTGGCCCAAGTTGGCACCATCATTGCACTCTTCCCGGGTGAGGCAGATCAGTCGCTGGCTTCTGGTTGGCCGCTCACTGCGGCTGCTGGCTGCTCACGCTGGCTGCTGGCTACACACAGTAGCCCACGGCAATGCAGCAACCCACTGCAGCAGGGGCTGCAGCCTCCGCCGCAGGTTGAGCTGTTGTTCAGCATCTTAGCTGTAGAGGGCAGTGTCACTGGCCCTCATATGTGGGATCCGAACTGGGGTCCTCTGGCGTCCCAAGCCAGCTCTTAACCAACGTGCCACTCGGCCGGCCCTTCTTGTGACTTTTTAAACTAACCTTTTGACTTGAGGGGTTTAGAACGACACAGGTGCTATGAATTCTGGCCCCTAAACTCAGTGAGTGCAAGTTGTGGTTATGGGTTCTCAGGGGGGACTTTTTTCTCAACCTGCCTCCCTTTTGCCAGAGGACAATACAGAGAAAGACATATAACCTCCAAAGGCTCCCTCTGTGGGCCAACTTTCACCTAGTCCACCCACAGTGGTGTTGTCTCTGTGTGACAGGAGAAGTTCCTTTATGTGCTGGCGGAGGTGGGTCTCCAATCTCTCCCACCCTATTCTGGTCCTAGCTCTCTGTTACTGGGCCCCTTAAACCACCCCCCAGGACTATGGTATCTCTGGGTTTCCCCTTATTCCTCATTTTCTCTGCTATCTTGTTGTTTCTGCCCCCTGAACAAACCCTTTACTTTCCCACCCACACAACCAAGCATTTAAAACTGATTTTGCCCCCTTTCATGTAGTCAGTATTTTACATATACTATGCTTGAAAGGTTTTCTGTGAACATTTAGTCTGCCATGCTGCTTGAAATTGGTCATGATGATTCTTAAAGAAGAATCTTTCTAGCCCTGTTTGTAGTTAGACGTGTAGGTAAATTAGGAAATTATGCTTGGCACTAATAGGAAATACACATTCATTGGAAATTGTGAAATAAACCTTAACTCCTAGCATAGTAGAACTTCCTTACTCATAAAAACAAACAATATATGGTTTACTCCTTGCTCATCAAATCAATATAAAATCAATATATATGTGTATCCCTTGCTCATAAAATTAAACATATATATACACATATGTGTATGTGTTT